GGCTGCTCCGAACACGTGTCCGCGTTCCCGCAGAGCCGCCCTGCCCTCCTCCCTGGTAACTCTCCCTGCCAGGAGCTGCACTGGGCTTTGGGGTGGGATTCGGGAATTTGCGGCCCTGTCCGGAACCGTCTTGTGCGATAGACCCTGCATCAGCTGGGGTCACGCGGCTCCCCCAGACCTCTGTGTCCGAGGTGCTGGTTTAGACACTATTAACGAGTTTGCCATGACAAATTCTCCACCTAATACCACTAGATCCAGAGGTTACGGTCTTTCTGAGGCCTTACGTTGTGAAAACCCAGCTGGAATTTGTTGCCTTTTGACACCTTCCTGAGCTAGTGGCATCGCTGCCACAGGAGTGGTTGTGTAATATCTGCTCTCAATAACAAACCAACCTTTAACTTTCCCAGGGGCAAAGTGGTGAAAGGCGAGTGGAAGCCGGGACAGGGCATCGTGGAGCTGCAGACCCCTGCGGTGAGTCCGCTGTGGAGTTGTCCCCTGCTTGTGATTCGAGGCTCCTTCCTGCTGCTTAAATGAGAAGCTGGTGGCAAAGAGCATATGAGGCCCATGGTGGGTTTGTGCTTGTGTTGCAGGGGAAGTTCTGGCACACCATGGGGTTCTCGGAGCGTGGCAAGCAGTGCCTGCTGCCCGAGGAAGCGCTCTATCTGCTGGAACGCGTAAGTAGCGCGGGGACGGGGGCCCTGCCTCCTTCCTGAATAACCCAACGCACCGTGTAGCTGTGTGTGTGACCCTGAAAGCCAGACTTTCACACTGAAGTCTGGGATCACTCGATACCTGTCGGTCACTCCTGCAGTTTGACCTGGTTCTCAAGGGGTGTCTCTTTGAGCCTGTTTCTCTGCGCTCCACAGGCTCATATGTAGTACTCTGACATTGTGCTGTTGACATGGCATTTGTGGCCAGGTTATCCAGCTCATGTCAAGTTGAATCCACACCTATGTCAACATGACAATGGAGTCTTGAGGAATGTTTGGATGATCAGAATCTTGGTTGCAATAACTGTAGAAAGTCATCACTTTTATCAAACCGAAGGAAGTGTAAGGAACTTAACAAGTTTCCCTCCTTGTCTCCCAAGGGTGATAAAATATCCGCTGCATATCTGTTAGTTCTTTCCTGAAATATATGTATTGAGGCTTGGACTTCCACCCAGAACTCAAGTGTTCTGGGAATTTCTGGAAATCAAATCAAAGCAGTATCTTCCCATTCCTTGGGAGGCTTAATAGGAAAAGATTAGACACTAAGCAATCTGTTTCCTCAGATATGATGTACTGGTAATTAGGACATGTGGGACTGGTCAGTGCCAGCTGTTATGAGTTGATTTCCTCCCTTATCCCACATATTTTACATGCTCTGCAGTAACAAAGTTCACGAGTTCTTTAGCACGCTGCTTTCCTGTACTTCTCTAAGAATCTGACAGGAATTAGTAAAGCTGATGTGGCTGAGAGAGGAATGAGACCAAGTTGCTCCTCAGTGTTCCTCTGCTTGGAGAAATGTTAGTTAGGGTTGGGGTTGGTTTTCTGGCCTCTGGAGTGGTTTATATCTCTCCAGGGATGCCTGTCATTAGCTAAATAGGTGCATCAAGCTAAAGGGGGCTTGTTTTCCCTTAGTAACATTTAAGCAGATTACCAGCAGCTGATGCCTTCCCTGAGTGCTCCTTGCAAAGGCAGGGCATTTTGCCTCGGGTGATTTGACAAACAATAGATCAGAAACAAATCGATGTGAGGATAAAATGTAGTCCCTTGCTGAGCATAGAATCACTCCCCAGAAGCAGAAGAGATCAGATGGAGGCCTTGGGCCTATCCCATGGGAGGGGTGTGGTTCCTAGGGCTTTGTTTTTCTTGTGTGTGTGTTTTATAAGTAAACATTCACTTAAAAAAGAAAAAGGAAAGGGAAGCATGGCCTAAACTGCCTCCTGGACCCAGCTGGTTTGGCCTGGGGCGAATGCGCCCTGGAATCGCGGTGCTGCTGAGGAGCCAGCCCGAGCGTGGCCATCACTTCTGCTCTGGCTGTGCAGGTCCTAAACTCTTCTGTAGCTGCTCTGTGTCCTGAATCACAGCAATCATCGGAGTTAAAGAAAGGATCTCTCAAAGCAGTGGTTACTTTGACAGTTGAGCATTGAGCTCCCAGCTGTGTCGTCCAGGCAGATGTATTGGTACAGCTGGGGGGGCAGCAGTTAGGCAAGAGCTTATAGATGAGGGTGGGAACTCTTTTTCATGGTTTTGCTGCTAAAAATGGGGTATCAGGGTGAACATTTTTTGCCTTTTTTTCCTGCTAAAATCACAGTATCAGAACTGTGGGCAAGGGGCACTGTGGGCATGTGGATGTGTGTGGGTATCGTGTCCTGCTGGGTCAGGACGGGGTGAGCTGGCACAGAGTGGTTTCTGCCGTTCTCTGAGCACCACGTGTTTCCCTTCAGGGTTATGTTCAGCTCTTCTACAGAGATGTGCCCTTGTCCATCCAGGAAGCCTATGAGATCCTGCTGGCTGACGAGGCAATGAGCCTGCCGCGCTACCAGGTGTGTTGGGAGCTTCCCCCACTGGGAGGATGAAGATCCAGCCTCTGCCTCCTGCCCTCTTCCCGCTGCCAAGGGCAGGGTAGGACAGTGAGGAAGGGAAGGAGGGTCATTCTGAGTCTTTCTTGGTGACCTCCTTCTGTGTGGTCAGTTCCTATTTTCTCACCTTTGGTTTGGGCCCTAACCCTAGGGAGTCTGGCTCTGCTGGTGCCACACCGTGTTCCCCCGGTTGTGGCAGGAGGGCTGAGGTGAGCTGGTTTAGGGTAGTTGCTTAACCTTCTTGCTTTTCTTTGCTCTAAGGTATTCAGCCACCTGAAGCAACTGGGTTATGTTGTACTGAGATTCAACCCCAGGTAACTAGCTCTTTGCACGCTGCTTCCTCTTTTCTGAAGATCTTCAGCAGAAGAGTGGAGAAGACTTGAGGAAAAATCTTGCATTTCACCCCTTGGGAGGATTAAAGGCTATAAGTGGCCCTCCACTCTTCCTTGTTCCTTCTTCTTGAGGAAGTGATCAGGAACATGAAATGGGGTGTAATATGAGGACCGTCCTGGTCCTGCCTGTGGCTTTTCTTGCCTGGAAAAAGGATTTTTGATGCTGTCCTGCTTTGCCACCCCCTCCTGCCCTCAGCCCCTGTGTCGGTGTCTCCTTGCAGCGCTGTTCTGTCACCCTACGAGAGGCAGCTGAACCTGGAGAGTCACTGCCAGCCCTCTGGGAAGCAGCACCGCAAGAGGAGGAGGAGTTCCAGCCCTCGGTGAGGATGTGTCCCCTGATGTGATCTGGATTAACCTTTTGCCCTGCCTGCCTAGATATCTTGGCTTGTGTCACTTGTGATTCAAAACAGAAAACAAAACCAACCCCAGTCTCAGCCATTTGCTGAGATCTCAGCTGTCTGGAGCTGGGATCTGGCTGTGCCATGCGGGGTCACGTATCCTGGTGATCAGAGGGGCAAATAGCACAGCTTTGTGACAAAGAGCCTCTTTCAGCTCATGCTCCAAAGTCTTTTTCCATCCTCTCCCAGGCCCCAGCCCAGTGCCCATCCTGAGCTCCTAGCAAGTTAGCCCTTTTGTTGCATCTGTGCTTCACACAGGGCTAACAGGGACGAGCTGCCCTTGTGCTTCCCATCTGCAGTGTGAGATGCTAAAACAGGAGGAGAGGGAGGTTGG